TTCATCATGGTGATGATTTGCAGGATAAAAGAGTATGGCAAGTATACTTCACACTGTAACTACAACACATGATTTAGGAACAAGACCCTGAGCTTTAACAAACGGGTTCTCTAAGCCCAAACCACCAATTTCAAAATTATACTATACAACATTTTGGGTTTGCCCATGGGAAATCTGGTACCTTCATTGAAGGGAATAAATTTAGGGGTGACTTTGATAGTTTGCACATGGACTTTTTACCTCTCACAACATATAAATCTTGATATTTAAGTATGTGTATGTATACCTAAGCATACATAGGCATATATATGCACACATATTAGCATCCTTGTAATAAACCTTAGGAAGGTGACTACATAGAAAAGTGAAGTGCTGGTCCTAAAATATCTTTTACTGGTATACTAGTTTACCAAGGTACCAAGCTTGTATTTGTTCAAGGAGAAAAACATTTTTTCTTTTCAATGGATCCTCTGACTCAAAAACCAAAACCAGCCCAGGCTATTCTAGATTTAAAGCCACGACATTAGACATAGTCCCATTATGAAGGTTCATCCTGCCTAAACTCTGAAAGAGACTTAATAATCAGATCCTATCCACTACTGATTTAAGATTAGCAATTAAGAAAGTTTTCTCATCATTACCAATGAACATTAGACTGAAAATATCTAAACTGCTCATAATTAATAGTTTTAAAATGGATGTTTGACAAAACCTGGATTTCATACCTTAAATATGATTATGAAAAATCTGTCGGCTCATTGAAACAATCTGCATGAGTTTCAACAACTGTCCTTGCTAAGAAACAGTGAACAGGGTGGGCCTGTCCCACATTCAGGCATTCAATCAATCCCTCATTAGAAGGATCCTACCTTCGATGGGCACATCACCCTCAGATTCAAGAAGGCAGCATTTTATATGAACTATTTATCTGCAGAGCCAAATTAGCTTGACAGGGTGTGTCTAGAAAAAGAAGCTATGGGATCTTCCATGATGAGAAATTTCCTAGCCTCAAAAATTCTCTCTCCGGAGACTCCGCAATAACACTTGCATTTAATGATCACCATGTTGAAGCCATTTCCATTCATTTTTCACCCAATCAGAGTCCTCAAGCCCCTAACTCCACACAGTCGTGAACCGCCTGCCCTTCCTGCTCAGTGCCAGGTGAGCACCAACAGAACCGAATTCCTCCCTTGCCTCTACTGGTTAGCAGTTGAGACTGCGGGGTCCGGGTCTCTTGGTCTAGCAGAAGCTTTAGGTGAAGAGATGACTTCCCCCTGGATACTGAGATGCTGAGCTCCACACAGAGAGGTCCACAAGCTACAGCTTTCAATCTACAAAGGTCTTCGGGTTCAGAACGCTGGTTAAACAAAGGTCAAGGAGAGAAGAGTGTTAGTTTCTGAGGAGGCAACATCCTAAAGCTTGCAGCTCCCTAACTAGGGGGAAACAGACTTGAGGCAAGGGGTGCAGGGTACTGGTGGGATGTCCCCAGCAGTCATATATGATGTGTTGCCACAATCTTCCTGTAGCCTGGGGACATCCCATATATCTAAATTTTACCTAAAATGTGTCGGATTTAGAGACTGTTGGAGTAATTTTACTTTGAAATAAATCAGATCACCTAATGCAGGGGCTGGCAAGCTTTTTCTGTAAAGAGCCCGATAGTAACTATTTTAGGCTTTGCAGACCATATGGTCTCTGACATAATGGCCAATCTCTGCTTGTAACATGTAAACAGCCACAGACAACATGGGAGTGAATGGGGATGGTTGTGTTCTAATGAAACCTGACTTATAAAATCAAGCGGCGGGTCAGATTCAGCCCATGGGCCGTAGTTTGCCAGCCTGAATCTAGACAGCTGACTCCAGTCAACAGCGACTCCTGGCTACAGACTTCAAGTGTCAGAGCACTTGAAGTTATAATGTTTTATTCTGATGGCTCCTCAAAATCCTTCTTCTACCTTCCAGAATCACCCTGACCTTTTTTTAGTAGAATTAACTAGGAGTCCCTACAACTGCCTTAGTAAAGTCAAATATCAAAAATTCAAAATATGAATTTATATCATTTACAGCAGGGAAAGAAGCAGACAAGACAAAAATCTGCGTAGAGGCCACTTGGAAGGGGCAGTGTCCTAGCACAACCCAGAGTTCATGAAGGCAAGGTGACCCCTTCTCACCATCTGATCATCTGTTTCAACAAGAGAGAGAACTTCAACAAACAGCAATTCCAACAGAGCAGTGCCTTGTGGGGAATTTTTTTTTTTAACCACTAGAAACATCAGAATTGTAAAGAAAATGAGGTTATCTATGTTTTCATTCACAGAGTCACCACTATGCAAATAAATACTGGTAGGTTTTGTTCCAGCCTACTCTGCCTCAAGAACAGACATTCACAGCTCGGACGTAGAAAACAGGCTTCCCTGAGCGGCTAAGGAAAGCTCTGATGGGAGATGACTCCTGAATGCCCAGAAATCTTGGAAATGAAGATGCCCGATTCGCTCTGCATTCAGCTATTTGATTTGGCATGGGCAGAAATAAAGTGGTGATAGCAATTTGTAAATTGGCCTATTTCACAGTGCAGTAGAAGGAAGGACTTTATCTAGAAGCCGCAGCCTACTTGGGCAAGGACACTTTCTAAGACAGCCACGTGGGACACAAAGGCTAACTCAGCAACGACGAGAGCCCTGTGCCTGTCTTCAGCCTCTTTTCTTTAAGCCTGATACCACCACTGCTGCAGAGTGAAGTAATTTGCAAGGATTTGATTGCCTGGAATGCTCAGTACAATATTATTTTAAAAATTAAGAATAAAAACCTTCAGCACTCACCTAGATTTATGCTTCTCAAGAGTGGAGAAGGGAATGGGCAGTGTTAAAGGCAATTTCTGAGGGAAGGTTGGAGCTGGGGAAATAGCAGCCGTGCCTGAATAGAAAGCGCTGGTCTACCTACGACCCTCCCTAACATCCCTTCCTTTCACAATTGGCCACTGTATCTGTCGAGACCACAGATGCCTGCTTGCAGTGTCCACAAAATGGATTATGGACATCAAGAAAGAAGAGTCTTCAAAGGGACATGGGAGCCGTGAAGAGGCAAAGTCCTGGGCTTTCCTCAAAGAGGTTCAAGGTCCATTCTGATCAACACCACACTTATCCCCGTTTTAGAATATCCTCCTCCTCTTCAATCATGATTAAACATCCAACTCAACATAGCTCTTTGTATGAACCTACTTGATTCGTCCTGGATTACAATGCCATAAGCCTGATGTTGCAAAGCCCTGACAGAGCATTAGCCATATCCGAAGGTCTGTTATCAAACATCAGACAAAGTATAAACACTCATGCCAAAAGTCAGCAGTAATCACATATCTAACTAAAGAAAAAGCAGTCTAGGCAGAAGAGTGAAGGAATGAAATCTCTTAGTCAATTTTCTGGTTAACTAAGTGTTAAATAAAAAGGGTTTTATTTACTTAAGTCCTTATTTTTTCTTAATTATGCTACATGTATTGATTGGTCATCAACCTCACATAACAGTAGTCAATGCAATGAACACAACCTATTTTTTCTTCGATGACTGGGGATCTAGCCATTATTTTTAATATAGTGTCATCAGTTTTGATTACCAATGGTAACTATATAGAACTCATCCCAAAACAAGTTCAGAAAATTGCACTGAACATATTCTGAGCCCAGGGTGAGGTCTGCGAATTGATTTTAAATAAACCTCTTTCAAATAAACAAGTGGTTCTCAACCTGTGGGTCGCGACCCCTTTGGCGGTCGAACGACCCTTTCACAGTGGTCGCCTAAGACCATCCTGCATATCAGATATTTACATTACGATTCATAACAGTAGCAAAATTACAGTTATGAAGTAGCAATGAAAATAATTTTATGGTTGGGGGTCACAACCTGAGGAACTGTTTTAAAGGGCCAGAAGGTTGAGAACCACTGAAATAAACAAACTCCAGTTGCTTCTTTGCCTTCACAGACAAGTGCAGTCACAAGTTCTGCAGACTGTAGCTCATTAGAGTGTAGACCCTGCACAATAACTAATCCTCTAACTTGTGTTTTCACCTCCTGAGCATGAGCTGATGATGCTAGGGAATGATTCTGGGGCTTCAAGAGGGGTTACTGAAAATGAAGAAAGAGAAAGGAGAGAGGACAGGACATGCACAAAGGGGTAAGAAAGAGAAGATCGACAAGGGAGGGGCACTGGGGGTGGGAGTGGTCAAAGGACAGAGAGAACCTTCCAGAAGACAGCTGAATGCAATCCCATCTTTTGTCTCCATAAATTAAGATGCATATCCTTACTCAAAGCAGTTGGTTCTTACAGATCCAGATATTGATGTAAATGGACAAAGACAAAGTAAGAGTAAAATCCTATGGAGAGTTACTGTACAGGCATCTGCTTTGCCGCTACTTCCTTAACCGCCCATGATGCTAAGGGAAGAACACCCCTTGAGCCACCTACCTCATGATGGTCATTGTGGTTCAACACCAGCAATTAGCAGGATTAATTTACAGGTTAAGGCATGCACTAATTGTCCAACTTTATAAAGAAATGAAATCCTTTACCCAAAGGAAAATTATATTCTCAATGACCAACTGAAACCTGCAGTATCCTTAGTAACAAAATCATGATACGTCGTTGTTCCCTATTATTCCACTAACCAATCAATTTCGGTTTCAACAACCCAAGTAATTGGAATATGTCCATACACCACACAGACCAGGTCAGAAGCTCTTAGAGGGAGACTGGTGTCTCTAACCCTTGAACCCCAAAACAGCCATGATCTTTTGCGGAGTGTGCATCTTTCACAGAAGACAAGGTCAGCCCCTACACAGCCTTTCATGGTAACACTGGGATTTTAAAAGAGAGCAGGATTTTAACTAAGCAATAGCTGAAAAGGCTATAAGTACGTTTTTAAATTAGAGAATCACTATGTAAGATTTCATTATAGCAGTCATAATAATAATAATAATAAAAATAACTGTAAGTTAGTGGCCTACCTATTCCTGAGTTAGCTCCAGTAACTACAACCACTTTGCCAGTGAAGTCCCGGCCCTGGAGTATTTCCATGGCTGTGGTGCTCCCATCGTATCTCTGTCTGTTGGTTGGCTTTGTAGGATTATCATCCACAGTAAATGCCAATCTTGGGTCCAAATAGGTAGTTCTTTTATTTATATGGCTGCAAAGAAAAGGAGAAAGCAGTGACCCCACAGCAGTGAGCACAGGTGTTTATAAGTGTAAGATAATGTTACAGTTTAGGCTAGACAAACCCCTTTCTTCATGTACTAAAACGGCTTATTCTTTTTTTTTCTTTTTTAAATATATTTTATTGATCTTAGAGAGGAAGGGAGAGGGAGAGAAAGATAGAAACATCAATGATGAGAATCACTGATCAGCTGCCTCCTGCTCCGCAGCCCAGGCATGTGCCCTTGGCCGGAATCCCTTCAGTCCGCAGGCCAACACTCTACCCATTGAGCCAAACCAGCTAGGGCAAAACGGCTTATTCTTAACCCCAGAAAGAACTGGAGTCCATGTAGTCTATCTTCTGGCCTCAAGAAGAACTACATTCCTGCCAGGAAAGAGAGTCGTCTGCTCCTTTCCTTCAGAACTGCCTGTAAAATACGCTGTAACATACACTATGCCTTGTGCCCTTAAATCTCAAAAAAGAAGAAGGCTTTAGGTTTGTTTTCAATTCATGTAAATGTGGCTATAAGATCTGTCAGTCACTCTTTTTAGATTTCAATTAAATCTTTTGGCCCTGTGCAAGGGCCTAAGAAGATTGGTAGAGAAACAGAAAACTCAACAGTAAATATGAAACCGACCAACTACTAAATTTCTAAAGATTTTCCTGTTAAGACTGTACTCATACTTCCTACAAGCACTCTAATTTTGATTTGGAATTGATCACAATATTGTAAAAACAATATTAAAATATATTTGGGACACATGGATTAACAGGTTACTCCTTATGTAAAGTATTTATTGCATTTTAAATTCTTGGGATTTGAGATAAAGACCTCAAATATCTTAAAAACTTAGTAAGAACTTCCAAAAAGAGATGAGATTTCAAGATTTGTAAAAGTATATATAGTTTTACAACTATACTTATCATCCTATAAATACTGAGACCCAAAAATAATCCAACTTTCACTGTAATTACAGCCATAGCTGCCAGATAAACGTTTGCACTCCAATGTTACATGCAGACGACAGAGCAGTGCTATGCTGGACCCAGTTCACATGGGCTTGCAAGAGCCCGATGTGCATAAATATTCCTCCCCAACTCCTCGGTGACTTCAACTTGGGAGCTTGAAACAGGCTGTGGTGAAAGTACTTACACCGTGGTAACAAATCTGGACTTTCCCGCCAGAGAGCTGTGTTAACATGAGCCAGCACACCCTCCAGCAGGCCCAGGGAGGTCAGATGACCAGCCAGGGCAGCCCGGGGCCGGCTTGCCTCCCTTGGGGCACTGTGGGGATTGAATGAGCTACTACTACAGGTATAAGGTGACTAGAATCACGCCTGGCTCACACAGTGTGCTAGACCGGTGGTTACTACTGTTGTTTGTTATGGGAATTTACTCTAAAGAGAGTTTTACAGATAAGAATGTTCAAAACATTATTTATAGGTACAGCTGCCCAATAATAGGAATTTAACAACACCACTGCCCGCTCTCTCTACAAAATAATACTCTATAGCCATTAAACATTTACTTGAAAAATATATAAGGATATGTGAAAATGCTCACAAATACACTATGTGGAAAAACAGGCTACTAAGCAGTTCACAAAGTACATTTCCATCTTTTTTTTTTTTTAAGAAAGTGTGTGTATATAAAACAGAGTGGATGAATAAATGCAAAAATTGTAAAAGTAGTTATTCCTATTAAGATTACGTTATATACTGTGCCATATTTTCCTATAGTCAATGTATATTATTTTTATGATAAAAATATTTAAAGTAAAATGGCTGAGAACAGTTACTATGTAGACACTTACTCGACAAAATACACTTGTCCATTCTCATCCGTTTCCTGTTCCCATCCATATGGCAAATCTGAAACATAGGAAAGACTGAGTCTACAGGAGGTAGGGGTGGGGTGAACTGAGAAGGTCCTCCTGGTCAGGAGAGAGGCCCTGCCCCCTGAAGCCTATGCCCCCAGACCACACCCAGGTCACGTGTTCCCACTGTGTCAGTTGCTGAAGGCCCGTTAGCCCAAACTGTTTCTGGCTTAGAAATAAAACTGTTTCATTCTTGGTCGTTCTTAAACTCTCCACTCAGCTTCAGCTCCTGCTTTTGATGAAAACTTTACTGGTTGCTCCAGTCAATGTGAATTCTCCCTTGAATGAATTCACAGAATGTATCTTTACAACACCATTTGTATGCTGACTCACGATGCCTCTTATTCAATATAAAGCAGTTCCATTTTTTTTTCCATCGGTACATACTGTCTATTCAAGTATAGACCTTCTTATACTTCTATTCCGTGGGTGACACACTTCTTCAAAAGCACCCATAAGTCATGGCGATCTCGATGGAATCCCATCAAACTCTGATATATTTAATTCCACAACAGGCACCAAGAACAAGTTTACAGTCAGTGCAGCTATAAGAAAACCTAATAAACTGTGAGTCAAAGGCCTCTACTGTTTGTATACTTTTTAATTTAAGACCGGTAAGAAATCATCCTCACCACTCCACCCAAAGACCTCATCACCTCCTTCTGCCAAATCCCACAAGCCCCTGGGAGTGAGAGTCGCTATTAGAGGGCCTTCCCAGAATGACACAGTGACCTGTCACCTCCCTGCCTGGGATGTTCTCTTATCTAATTAAAGCTTTACATACAAAGGGTGTTGCTTTATGACCTCAAAATACAAACCTCCTGCTATTCGTTTTCTTTTTCCAGTTTTCGGATGTTCCCATTGAGTCTTCTCCTCAGTGTGACTATTAAAAGAAATTCACAAAACAACAATGAGTAAAAGTCATACTTCTAAAAATCAATCCAGTGCATTAAATTTTTTCTCTCCCAAATAATACTATCTCTTGAGAGCAGTGAATTTACATTCAGGGAGAAATAGAACATAAATGTTACTGTTTGCATCAAGTCCAATTCCCTAGATTGGAAGCAGCAGCAATCTCTGGAAATGTCCTAAAAGCCTGCCTTTACACACTGGCTGGGGGGCGCAGGAGGGAGGGAGGAGGATCGCAAATTCAGCTTTAGGAAGCCAGCTCAACCACTCCACATATCTAGAGAGGAGCTTTGTTTTATATTTGTTTTAGTTTTATTCCAGGATAGATTGATAAACTTCAGTCAAATTCATAATGCTGATATTTAGATACTTAGATATAACTGTAATCTTAATGTTTATTCCTCCCAAAGATATAATTTCAAAGTGTTTTTTAACTACTGATTCCTAATTTCTCCCAAGAGGTAATTAAGAGTGCATAGGTCACCAAGCTGTGTGCCTTTGGTCAAAGTTACTCAACCTCAGGGCCTCAACTTCCTCATCCGCAAAATGGAAATAATCCCAGCACTGACCTCAGGGGAATGTTATGAGGATACTGCATACAAAGGGTTAAACACAGTACCTGGCATATAAGAAGCCCTCAAAAGTGTTAGCTATTATTTTGAACAAATCAAATATACAAACTAGTCTGATCTCTGTGTCAAATTTAGCATTTCATCTCAGAAATGCACACAAAGTTACAATTAAAATCGTAAGCCAATAACAGACTAGACACCTGTCAGCAGGTGATAAAGTGTGAAGAAAAACATAAAATTACTTCATCAGGGAAACAGCTGGATGTTTCAAGAGTGAATCAAAGGGGAGGATGATTTCCTAAGTTCACATCCCCCTGCCAAAGGAGAAAATATTTAATCAAGGACCTCTAGATGATAAAATTTGAATATTCCTTCTCTATCACTTATTTGAAGGAGAATTAAGTATGGAGAGCATAAACTTGATGTAAAATTTTACACGTCAAAAGCAAGGTCTTTTCAGGAACTGCTGCCTCTGGTCTGTTTGTATAAAATCGGCGTGGCCAGTGCAGGGACAGCACGGTCACTGGACTCAGAGGCGGACCTGAGCTCCTGTGCCACCTGCATCTAGTCAGCCAGTCTCCCTGGCCACACACTCATGTCAAGGAGACACCAGAGCTGCAACAGTGATTGGCGACTGATCAATCTACTGTACAAGCAAAGGATATCAGTATCAAGGACCAACTCCTCCTTGTCTGTACATGACCACCATCAAATCCTACTTGCAAAAGCGGAAGCCCAGACTCCCTGAGAAGGATAACCGGCCCCTCACTGACAGGACCCCTGCTTCTTGCAAACTAAGGGAACAGCAATCAGATAAACCAAACACTGGCAACAATATAAAATTTCCTGCTCTTGGCTTTGCCTGGCTCCTGCTTCTTCGGGGAAATTTACAGATGGGATCACATTTTCCTTTGTCTGACATTAAAAGTACTTGTCATCCCAAAGGCATGTATCAAATGAGCCTGGAACCCAGCTCCAAAACACCTGCCCTCGGGAGTAGAATGCTGACACTCTAGCATCCAGATGAACCCTCAGACACCTAGCCCTGCGCCTGGCCGATAGTAGGTGCTCAAATGTAAGCATGTGGAATGAATAAATGCTTTCCCAAGAAGGTGAAACACTCACTCAGAACAATGTTTTCTTTTATCCTGAGAAATATTTTTTTTAAATAAAATAAACAAACACTGTCATGCCATGTTCTCCACTTTGACAGAAAATGCCTAAGCCAGGGCTTCTTACGCTCACACTGGGGCCACACGGGCTGGATGGTTCTTTGCTGTGGGGGCCGTCCTGTGCATTGTGGGATGATTAGCAGCTTCCCTGGTCTCTACCCACTAGCTGCCAAAATACCTCTCCCAGTGACTGTGAAAACATAAACTGTCTCCAGACATTGCCAACCGTCCCTGCGGGGCACAGTGACCCGTGGGAGGACGGGGCCTAGCTGAGGTGAAGACAGTGTAATGTGGTTGTGAGGATTCCAGAGCCTGATGCCCATGGGTTCTGGCTCTCCCATGCACCAGCCAGTGCCCTGGGAGGTTATTTAGCCTTCCTGTGCCTCAGTTTCCCCATCAGTAAAATGAGGTTAATAGCAGCACCCACTTCTTGGGGTTAAAGAGAACTGAATGGGTTAACGTGTGAAGACCTAAGAGCCATACCTTTCACATAGAAGTATTATATTAACTTAATGCTTACATATAAAAATTAAAGTGTTTTTTTAACTATAACCTAAAGTGACCTTTTAATGCACAAAAAACTATGACACATGTTCCCAGTGTTATCTTATTCTCCCTTAAACAGAAGCCCTCTTTTATTTTTCTTTCATTAAGCTTTTTGTCATTTAAAAAGATAATTAACAGTGATCTTTATTTAAGCCAAAGGGATCAAAATTAAATTCATGCTATATTGCATAGATTTCACTTTCAAGTATGCTCTTTTAAGGTTTTTGTTGTTGTTGTTTTAAAGCAGTTTAAGTTCACTGGGAGACCCTGGGCTGCCTGTGAGGAGAGCCAGCCCTGGGGGAGGGACCCATCTCCCCATGGGGCTAGGCTAGCTGCCAAGAGGGCATCAGAAGAATAGGGGGATTGGGTAGGCCACCCAGGGAGGTCTAGGTGGCTGCCCCTACACTGAGACCTCACCCTTATGTCCCCATCTCCTGGTTCAGGCAGAGGTAGAGAAGAAGGCCTGGTGGTGCAAACAGCTCCTCCCTGGGAGCCCCGACTGGTGGCCCTGGAGCCATATGACAGACTTGCCTTGAGGTCCATGAGTGCACCATGGGCATGTGGGGAAGGACAGGAGCCAACAAAAGCACACAACAGACGAGGGCAAGGCGAAAGGGGACTCCACAAGACACCACTTTCGCTGGGCTACAGCCTGTCCTGGGGCATGGCCCTGTTGCAATGGGAGGAAGACAGTTGGGAAACAGGAACTACCTGAAGGACAGTCTTCTATTAGCCCGTTAGTGAAGGTCCCCAAACCCCAAGAGAAAGACAAGTGACCCAGAGTTCAGAGGGGAAAGAAGAGCCAGGATGCTTGCAGGTCAGGCGAGATCAAGGGGACTGCTGGGAATCCAGGGTTAGGATTGGTCCGAGACATCCTTCAGCTCTGAGAGCCAAGGAACAGAGGACTGGGAAGAGGTGCCCCCAGCTGGGAGCCAGCCATGCCTTGTCACCAGTCAGTGTAAACAACGGGGCCAGGCAGGCCAGTGGGAGACCTGAAACAATGGTGGAGGCTAGGGGGTGGCTTTCAGAGAACACATAGGTGTTCCCTGAGGCCCCTGGCCATGGGCTCCTGGAAGCTCTCAGAGGAGCTGGCTGGCATGTACAGATCTTATTTCATGAAAGAAGAGCCCCGCGTCCAGACACTGGATGCCATGTAGGAAGGAAGCAAGTGGGAAAGGCCACCCAACATAGGGACAGGGGCAAGGGGACAAGGCAGGGTGAGCAGACTCTGGGGAACCTGCAGACCTAACACCAGGCTCCAGGCAAACCAGAAGGGAAGCCAGGAGCCTGAGGTAAGTGGCCAGGACAAGGTCAGGCCCCACAGAAGAGCAGGAGGGTCCCGAAAGCAGGAAGCGGTTGTGTGCATCTTTTCAGTCCCAGGGCCTACTCCACCACCTCCCCACGGAGGCCCACGGTAAACCTTCAGTACACAGTTAATTTATTCCTTCCCCGTGGATCTATTTCACAGTGCTGAGCACTGAGGATACAGAGGTAAACCAGAAAAAGCCCCTGCCCTCGGGAAGTTTACAGCCTAGGGAGGGAGACAGAGCCATCAGGGAAGAGCAGGAATGAGACAACTATGGACAATGCTAAGTGCCAGGAGGCAGAGATCAAGGTGCTGGGAGGCTTGTGCTCCGGTGGGGCAAAAGCAGAAGGGGCCTTGGGCAGTGCATTAAGCTGAGCTCTGAGGGATGAAAGGGCCCTTCAGGAAAAGGCACAGGGAACAGCAAGTGCCCGTTCAGGAGCTGCCTGGAGCCCTGCAGCAGCCTAGTGACTCCCTGCTGCTAAACTGTCCCTTCAGTTCTCCAGAGCAGGAATCATCTTTCTGAAGACACAACCCCGGCGACACTCTCTGGCCCCAATCCCTCAGAGGGCCCCTGGGTCCTGACAACAGAGGCCCAGCTCCTCCATGGGGCAAAAAAGGGCCTCTGTAAGCCAGGCCTTTCCTCCTCTGCCTGGATCTGCTCGTTCCTACATCACCACACAGACCATGCAGGGGCTCTATTTTGTCTCCTCAACCTGGGCTGCCCTCCTGCCCCCTCCACCTGCCCACTTCTACCTGTGCTCTAAAGCACAGCTCAGGTGCCAGCTCTACCAGGTCATCTCACCTAGGGTGCCCTTCTACCCACACATGCCTGCTGTTCGACAGACTGCTGCTCACCACACACCATGCACCAGGACTACCTCACTGTCACTCTACCCTGTAAGACTGGGCACTCATTAAGGGTGACAACTGGATTTCATTTATCTCAGGATAACCAGGGCCCAGCACAACGACTGGCACGTAAGATCCCAATGAATCTTGAATGAACTCAGCAAGGTCTTATTTTGCTGTTGGTCCGTAATATTGGGTAGATCAGACTCATTGGGGAAGATTATACCACATACCAATGGGGAGGAGAGGAAAACCGATCAAATGAGAATCTCTGGAGGTGAAACCAAGTAAAAGATATAACTGAGTTTACCAGATGTTGAAAAACACTGATTTAAAAGCCAAGTCATAGTCTGACTCACCTGGAAAGCTTAAAAAAAAAAAAAGATTCCCCACATTAGGTGTCTGCTACCTGAGGTGCCTGAGGGTCTCTGTGAAGACCTGAAATCTGTACTTATGACAGTCCCCAGGTGGTTGTAATTTCAGGCCTCAGGAGGTGCTGAAACACTAACGTTTACGGAGCATAGCGTACTTACTGAACCTGAGCTAAGTGCGTTTTGTACATTGCCTGAACTAAAACTCTCATATAAACCCATTTTACAGATGAGAACACTGTGACTGAGAGTTCTGTCAATGGCCCGAGGTCGTACATACAGTAAGTGTAGGGAGAAAGGCTCTGCCAGTGTTTCTAAAACTTTGCCGTGAAACTATAATGAAGCTATATTAGCTATAGTATATGTGCAAAAACATATGTATACACATATGTATACACATATACACAGATACAGTAGGACAGTTGTTAAAAACACACACTCGTAGGTCTCCAACCCAGACCCGAGGAGAGAGATGGACACCTGCATTTTTTTATTGTTGTTTCTGATTTTGGGGGGGAAAGGGATTGATAAGGCCGGTTTGCCCTCACTGCACTGTGCAGCGCTGCTTCCTGAGCAGCAGAGGGCGCGCCTAGCCGCCCCCAGGTGACCACGGCTCGACCCAGGCCCCAGAGAGAGGAGGGTCCCTTCTCAGGAGCCTGGACGCTCCTCAATGTCACTGCCACTTGGCCCGACCTCACCAAGCTGGAACGCAGGCCATTCCCCACCCCGCGCAGGCGGGGTTCGAGGGCAGCCGTGTCCGGGGCCCGTGAGGCCGTCAGGTCCCAGGTGCGTCCCACGGCAGGTGCGTCCCAGGCCTGGCGGCCTCCCGGCGGCTCCCCTGCAGCCCTCTTACTTGGCATAGTACACCCAGCCGTCCTTGGTGGTTCTCTGCTCCCAGCCCAGGGGCAACTCGTCCTCGCTGTCCGTGTCGTCCAGGCCCGCATAGCGCAGGGCTGCCATGGCGGCAGAGGCGGCGCTGGGTCCCCCGTGCAATCAGCCGCCCGCTACCGGGACTCGCGCCCAGAAACTCACTCCCGCTTCAACCGAGCCCCGCGCGCGTCCAGACCCAAACGCTCGCGCCTGCGTACTACGCCGCCCAGAGCCGCTCAATCGATTCGGTAGCTGTAATCCAGTTTCCGGAATTTACTCTGCTGCCAGGGTAAAAGGGGCGGAGCCTGAGAAGAACGGTAGTAAAAGTGCCGAGGAGATGGCACTGCCGCTCAGCTGGAAGTAAAATCTGGTGACGCTCTAGGACTGTGGAAATGGAGCTGAGCCTCGTTATCACCCCGGCCGCAGGGAAGGGGAGAGGACATCCAATCAGGGCCCAGGACTTCGCACGTTGCTAGGCGACCCGTAATCACGTCCGCATTATTCTGACCAATCCTACAGGTCCTCTTGCAAGTGGGCATCCTGGGAAATGTAGTTCAGGACCAGCCAGACTACAGTGGAGCAGAAAGAAAGGGTGGCTCAATGCTGATATTACGGAGTCTCGCCTGTTCTTGTTTGAGAACGTTAGAGTGAACGTTCCTGCTCAGAAAGCTTCCAGCGTTTTCCATCACCCAGGCTGATTCACAAACTTATTTGTGCCTGTAAACACAATATTATAAAACTTGGAGACGGTTAAAAATGCACATTCACTCATCTGATTAACCAGTCTTGCAGAGAACTCTTACAGCCAGAAGATGGTTCTGTTGATAATAAAGGGTTAACGTTTAAGAATTATTTATGTATCTGCATAAGCCTGACTAAACTAATAGAGCACCGCATTTTATGCTTCTATCACTAGCAGTTAGTAAAATGCCTAGACCAGGAGTGGGGAACCTCAGGCCTGGGGGCAGTATAAGGCTGGGGAAATCATTTGGTCTGGCCCTGTCAATTCATTACGGTGAGTAAATTAAATGTTTGACCAAATATAGCAGGCTAATTTTTAAGTTGATAATTTTGTATGGTTGGGAATTATGTTATAAATATCCAAATGGCCCTTGGCAGAAAAAAGGTTCCCCACTCCTGGCCTAGATCAACAGGTTTATTAAATGAAATGAATAGACAAATGAATGAATGAATGAATGTGATCCCTTAGGTTTGGCCTTCTATAAACCTAATTTGAAACAAAATTTCAAATTTACAAAGTGGATGTTCTGAAGTCCTCTTGGAGCACACCTATAAGTATCCTCTAATGTCCTGTGTCAAAAACCAGAAGTATATCTTCAACTTGACCTCACCCAAGGCATTTTCCAGAACATTTTCTCCTTGGAACTTGCTACATCGCCCAGCATTACAAGGAAATCTACTGACCATGATTTCTCTGGCCAGTAGAATCAGCAGAAGAATGCAAGCCTCCTTCAAAAGAACTACCTATTTTAAAGGAGGGGGTGGTGATCAGTGTTGCTTTTAGTTTTCTTCAAGTCCTAAAACTGATATTCTTTGTGATTCTTGATTTGCATGCTCTTTAGAGGAGAGACTCGCTTTACTTTGAAAAAAACAAAAGCTAACTTAATGAAAGCATGTTTTCATTTTAACAGACCCTTTATCTCATCTCAGACCTACGGAAACATCACTCTTTCCAAATACGTGTGCATTTAAGTAAGCTACCATTAAATTGCTGCTCTTTTGCTCACCCCAATTTAACCCTTGGCCCTGTCACCCCAGCCAATTTATTCCTTTGGTAGATATGAATAGGAAATTAGGTGACAAAGTCTCCTAATGGTAAGGAGGCGGGGGAGTGAATGGAGTCAAACTGATTAGCTTCAGTATCTCTAATCAGTACCTCTGCCTTTGCTTAGTTTTTCAAGGATTGACTGCTTAGATTTTTATCTTGAGTTACCCTCACCAGAGCCTCTACAAGCACCTGTTGCCTGTGACTTGGCACAAAGGTAGGGTCAGAGTATGGTATCTTCCCCAGACTGGGTAGTGGTCCACTTGGTAGAATTCTCAACTTTTGGGCCAACCCTCTGCTCTTCCCACCACTTTAACCATTCCGTCTCTGCTTCTCCTGCCATGGACACCGGAGTCTCAAACCTCAGCACTAGTGACATGTAGGGTCAGGTAAATCTTTGTTGCACTTTCCTGTGCATTGGAGGACATTTAGCAGCATCCCTGGCCTCTACTCACTAGATACCCGTATGTCTCCCTTCCCACAGCTGTAACAACCAAAAATGTCTCCAAACATTGACCATTGTTCCCCCTGTTGAGAACCACTTATCTACACTGACAATTAGTCAGGAAATTACTAACTCGTAAATCAAGTGCTGAGATTTATTTAAAACATTGGCTAGAGATTCATAGGTGGTACTCAGACACTGCTGGTTCTGATTGCTAAGTTCCCTAGCCTTGTCTGAGAGCACCTGCCACTCCAATTCCTAGTTCATCAGATGAGAGACATGAACTGACAGAAGTCTGGCTGGGTGGCCCAGAGACACCAATAATGGTCCCACATGGTTGTAATAACCTCATTTGATTCCTCTCTTCCTACACCTTGCCTGTGGCCTCTATCAGAAGGTTAAAGAAATCAGGCATGTAGGCATTCGGGGACTTGTGAGAGTGGGCATGCCAGATTTTAAGATTTATGCCTTTTGAGTTCGCACAAACTGATAACTGTTTAACTCATGCTGATTTGACTGAAAGCAACAGAGACTCATTCAAAAGTTTTCGATCAGGGTGCACATAAGCTAAATTAAAATGTTATAAGGGCCTGAGGGACTCAAGGACAGGCCGTTATTGTTGTTTTTATTATTAAATTCTTGTGGATTTCATGGTCTCTTGCTCCCCCTCTCCCTGGCTTCCTCTATTTACTCATAGTTTCTGTGCCCCTTGGACTTTAACTTACACATGACTTTGACATTGGTCTTACAAGGATCTATCAGAGGACAAGCCCTGTTTAACTTGTAAGATTATTATGGGGTTTGAGGAGCCTTAAGTTTGGGAATGAGCTGAGATCTTTAACATGTACCTCTAGGAAGACTAAAGAAAGGTTTGTTTTTGTAAAGTGAATTGAATCACATGGATTACTGGTGAGGAGGCTAAAATAAGAAATTCACTGTGTGGTTATACAACTGCACACCAGATGGCCCTCTCTGCCCATGCTTTTACAAGACTAAAGTCTAATTCTTGACAAGGATTTCTACGCTTAAACTGCCTTTTCTTTTTGGTTGATCACTTCTGCAACAACTGACAAGTGATGAACATAAGGTTGATCAGTTTTTGCTGAAAGCAACCTGGCCTTTGTCATGGGGTGGGCACAAGTTTTAGAGGAATTTTTCTTTAGTTCATTATCATTACCACAATGATGGTCATCTCCCTCCCAATGAGACACACAAATACCCCAACAATTCTGCAAAACCTATTTTAACTTAAGTCACCGTTTCTTGGGAAATTAAGCCATGTGTTTTGCTGCCAAACTCACTATGCTAAGGAGACCTGGGAAGCCTCTTGGCTCTTCTGATAAACGTCTCATGGGAGGTAACCAATAAGGAAGGATATTGAGCAGCATTCTTAGGGAAAACTCTCCCCCATCAATGTGGCCTTACATAGGAAGCTGTGTTTGCATTTCACTTATTCGCTCTAACACACAATAAGTGAAAATAAAAGTATGCTATGTCTCTGAGAAAAATCAAGAAAAATGAAACACCCCTGTCTCTAAGTATCAGTCAATTATGATAAGACCAACAGATACGCAAAGAACTATGGATTTGGGGCTTCTAAGAGAAGTTTGAACCAAGATCTATAGTTATGGAGAGACAGGGGAGGGTTTCCTATAATTTACCATTGGAACCAAACTCAGCTAATGTGTGTGACAGTGGCCAAGTCATTTAACGTTACCTATTTCGTTATTATCAACCCAGTTTTTACAGATGATGAAACTAGAGCACAAGGAATTTAAGTAATTTGTCCAAGGTCACTTAGCAAGGAAGAGCCAGCAGGAGCTGGAATTGGAATCCAAACAAGGATACTGCCCCCAAAACTCATCTTTTCAACCAAATGCCCCGTCGGCTGCCTTTCCAGAAAAGGGGGTTTCCAGTGCTGATCCTCAAGTGGATGCCCAGGGGTTTTCACTCTTCCATGGGAAAGTGAGAAAAATAAGGTAAAAGAAGTGAATTTTTCATAAAGCTAAATATATCCCACTTAAAGTACTTCTATTTTCTATATGATTACACCTGCTCTACTTTTATTTATTTTTAACAATCTATTTTTTTCAACATGTTTTTTATGAAAAATATATTTCAATCATCCAGAAAAGTTGAGGACGGTACAAATAATACTCATATTACCCTCCTCATACACACACCTAGATGTAACAGCCTTCTGCCATCTTTGCTTTAAAGAGAAAGAACCCGAATCCTTGAAGCATTAGGAGAGAGTGATTTTGTCTTAAAGTCCCCAGGACTAAACAGTTATGCTCATTTTCCCATGGGCCACAAGGAGGCACTCTCACCTGCTGAACTCATCACATCCACTGCAGTGACTTCTGGAAATCAGACACTTAAGTTTGGAAATTTCATCTGTTTAATTTATATTTAAAGGCCTCGGTGTAGCTTTAGTGTATAATTGTTAACTTGCCAACATTCACAAAATTCTTTTCCAGACTAACTTCACTCCAGGTTATGTTCTGCCCTATAGAGAGAAGAATCACCCTCCAGGGGGCAGTCTTATTGCCCCCAGTCAGTTAAAAATTGTGGTGAGGAGTCCATTCTGTTTAAAGCAAGCATGTCAAACTCAAAGGCTCACACGGGCCAAATAAACAAGGTTTAAGTTTATGTGAGGCCACAAAAAACAAAGTTTCAATTTGCATAAAAACATATGTTTATTTCGATAGAGACATGCTGAATACAAAGAACTGAAATAAATGAGTAAGCGTTAACATAAAATAATAGAACATTTTAATAAAAATTGATATTTTTTCTTGAATATTAACTTACCAGACACTGAATACTGCACAAATTAATAAGCATAATGCAAATAAACCTATTTTTCTTATTCTCTGAAAGCGAAATATTTCCTTTTGCACACACCAAACAAGTCAGTACAAGACTAATGATGTGGCAATCGGCTGCTAAAATATTTGCTGCT